TATGACCATTATTGTTGTTATCATGGTGAGGTATAAAAAAAGAATGTTTAAAGAGGTCAGGAAATCCTGCCCTCTTAGGTTTCTGGTGGCAGTGAGGATGCATGTATGGGTCTTTCCTTATGGGGTGGAAGGAGGGCAGAGGACATGTGACTTTGGGTTTGATTTGTCCTCTGGTATTTGTGACATGTATGTATTAAAAGGACCAATACTGGCGTTGACTGTCCCTTAGGAGACAGAATCGTCTGTCTTCATTTCTAATATTGCCCTTGACCAGGAGATTTCAACAGTTCAACTTGGGTCTTCTGTGTTTCTAAGATTTTTTTTTTAATTTGTCTTTTAATTATAGATTGACACATACCTTTATTTTATTTATTTATTTTTTTTATGTGGTGCTGAGGATCAAACCCAATGCCTCACACATGTGAGGCAGGCCTCTACCATTGAGACACAACCCCAGCCCTTGTGTTTCCAAGATTTAATTTTTTTTTTTTTTTTACTATGAACTTTTTTGGGTGAGGGTGGGTACTGGTGATTGAACCCGGAGACACTTAACCACCGAGCCACACCTTCAGCCCTTTTTATATTTTTTATTTTGAGACAGAGTCTTGCTAAGTTGCTTTGGGCCTCACTAAGTTGCTGAGGCTGGCTTTGAACTTGGGATTCTTCTGCCCCAGCCTCCCTGAGCCACTGGGATTGAAGGCATGGGCACCCCACCCAGCTAGAATAAACTTTTTAAAGAAGAATATCACCATGATTGCACATCCAACTGGGTTTCATTTTGGTAATTGCTGTCTCCTTAATGCCTGTCTTTTTCCATAGATGTAGATGTGTTATTTACCGTATCACAGACATGTTTTTTACATAGTCTTTATAATGCTATTTCATGACAGTTCCATCAAACAGATTCCCTGACCTTCTCTAGACCATTTGTTTTGTGTGCAGTTTCTTCATAAATATCATTTTTTTGCTTTATTTCCTTGAAATATATTCCCCAGAGTAGGAATTTTTAAAAAATTTTTTAGTTGTTGATAAACCTTTTTTATTTATTTATATGCAGTGCTGAGAATCGAACCCAGTGCCGCACACATGCTAGGTAAGCACTCTACCACTGAGCCACAACCCCAACCCCCCCAGAGTAGGAATTTTGAGCCAAAAAATAAGAAAGTCCTATAGCTTTATTTGCAGCATTTTACAGAAATAAATCAGTTCATCCTTTGTTGTTTTTGTTTTGGGGTGGGGGTTGGTACCAGGAATTAAACCTGAGGCACTCAACCACTAAGCCACAGCCCCAATTCTTTTTTTTTTTTTTTTTTAAGAGAGAGAGAGAGAATTTTTTAAAATTTATTTTTCAGCTTTTGGTGGACACAACATCTTTATTTTATTTTTATGTGGTGCTGAGGATCGAACCCAGCGCCCGGCGCATGCTAGGCGAGCACGTTACCGTTTGAGCCACATCCCCAGGCCCCCCCAATTCTTTTTTATATTTCATTTAAAGACAGGATCTTGCTAAGTTGCTTAGGGCCTCACTAAGTTGCTGAGGCTGGCTTTGAATTCGTGATCCTCCTGCCTCAGCCTCTCAAGCTGCTGGGATTACAGGGGTGCACCACCATGCCCAGCATTGTTTGTTTTTGAACTGGTCTCACTATGTTGCCCAGAATGGCCCAGGGCTTCTGGGACTCAAGCACTAGGTTTTTAGTGGCTAATACTATAGACCCATACCACCACCTCCAGCTCAACCCTTATTTTTTTCACTGTCAGTCTGTATCTCACCCAGTCAAAACTATTGGAGGATGTGATCAAACGTGGCAAAGTGTCCCAGTTTAATGGCCCAGCAGATCATTAGTAAATTTATCATCTGATCATGTTTTGAAAAACCATGATTTTCCCTTGATTCAGTTTTTTGAATGCCTACCGCCCCTTCCTCCCCAACTTCCAGTTCTCCTTCTCAGGGCTTTTGGAAGCGGTGCCTCTCAAGTCTTTTCTCAGAAACTCATCCTTTATTTACTTTGAGAGGAAGGACTTGTTTGCATATGTAAAAACAGGACCATATTGTTTGCAGATGCTAGGGGTGCTGCCAGATAATTGAATGTAAAAAGTTGAGGCTTTTAAATCATTTTTACAAACCTGGACACACAAGAGTATTTTCTTAGAATTAAAAAGAAAAGAGCATGAAGTAAAGATTGTGGGCTTGGGTTTCTAATTCAAACATTTCACTTGAGTTCATAGTAGCAACATTTCAAACCGCAGAAAGGGAGGGGCCTGGAGGTGGGGGAGGGGAGGGGACTAGAAGAAAAAAAAAACTTTGCAGTTTCATCTTTTGATCTAGAAAAGAAACATATTAGCAGAGTTTAGAAAAATGACAAAACAAAAACTCAATCCCAGCCATTTCTGGTCCCACCTAGTAGTTCCACAGTAATTTTTTCTTCTCCCATCTATGGTTCCACATCTCACCTTATTTTAAGATGAAAGTAAATCTAAAGTCATGTGTTTCTTATCAGTATGTGACTAAGCCCCTACCCTTTAGGAGAGAGGCCCACTTGTGATAGCATTTGTTTAAAGCTAATTGCTTTTAGTATTAAGTGCTTTTGTTAGAAACAGGAAATGAAGGAGGCAGTCATTTCTGTCTAGCATTGCTAGACAGATGAGAACTTCTTGAACAAATTGTCTAGTTTGAACTAGAAGGCTGGTTTCTTCTCCTAAGTACATTTTGGAATCTGCTATAGCATCCGCAAATGTGATGGAGAGTGAGTTCCAAGGTCCTGCTCAAGCCTGCCATTTTTTGCAGAGGCTTCCAAGGGCAGGAATGGCCATCCTGCTTCCAGACCCTCATTCATAAACCTCAGCCCCCCCACAGGGCTTTGAGCCTGGTGGAGAGAGGAACCAGGAATGTCTGCTGCTCCCTGTGGTGGAACAGGTGACCTGTCCCAGGGGAGTCATGATAACTGTGGAGGACTTCTGGAGATCGAGAACCAGCCCCAGCTGCTCACAGGGTCACTCTGGGCTAAATGGTGGCTCCAGGTAGGAGCAGGAGTGAGTGGCAAGTGGAGGTTCCAGGTGGGAGATGAGAGGCTGGTGTCTGGAGGCCTAGTGAGATCCAATTCCTGGGCAAGTTGGGGGTTTTGGAGGGCCAGGAAGTGTAGCAAGGATGAAGTTAGCACAGTGACAGTGTGCTTACAGTTGCATCTTCTGACTGCCGTGCAGTGTCAATAACCAGCGTTCCTTTACTGCTTGTCAGCCTTAACCTCCTGTTTCAGCTCAGCCCTGTCCACCTCTGTACAATGAGAGGGAGGCTAGAGGGTTGTGCTGGATGTGGATCTCCAAAGTGCTTTGCTCAGGCATCTAGAACTACCTGGGTTGCATTTTTAGCCTCAGACTCCTGGTCCTGGGCTGTTCTAGCCACAGGCACCTGGGAATTGACTGGTATCCTGTCTTCTGTGAGAATTCAAGGCATGACGTTAAAAGGAAAAATGATTTCATGATCCCACTTAAAGCACAGTAAGGCAGACTGTATTCAAAGACCATTGCGATAGGTACAGGGACCATGGCAATGGAATTTTGCAGTGGGAAAGAGATTAAGCTCAATTCTAAATATGGCATGGGCAAATGGGAATTTCTAGCTAAGGAGCAAGGTGGAGTCAGTGGATAGAATGTTACTTAAGGGGAAATCTCAGGGATAAGGGAAATGCTAGTTAAACTGACCTAATAGGATCTTTGCTGAAAACAGGCCAGGATGACCAGATATCACCTGGAGGATGGCGGAGGGTGATTAGCCTCATCAGGTACCCAAGGTGATAAGATATCAAGGGTAAGAGATTCTTGCCAAACTGACTTAGCAGGGTTCTTTGCTAAAATTGGATTTTACAAATACATGCAAACAGATGAGCCTAGGGGAAGCTTCAGGAGCCTGACTACTTCTTGGGGCTGGGATGTAGCTCAGTGATACAATGTGCACTTAGAATGCATAAGGCCCTGGGTTTGATTCCTAGCACTGCAAAAAAAGGAAAAAAAAAATGTTTCTGTATGTTTAACCGGAAGTACAGATCCTGATAGTAGTAAGTACCCTCTACACTCAAATGAACAGACTTATTACTTTGTTTAGCTTTTAGGGTTTTATATTCCCTCCTAGGAAAAAAAGGTTAGTACTTGGTGTATCCTTGTCAGAACTCAGATCCCACCTAGTTTTAGCCTCAGACTCCTGGCTAAACCCAGATTTGGGGATTTGGGATAAATTCCTCTTTTTCAGGTTGCATCCCCTCCTTATGAGGCAGGGACTTTAATTTTGGTCTGAAAAGTCACCCTCAGGGTCAAGTCAGACTTGAATATGCTGGAGCTGTCCCTGTGTGATATTGTAGCATAGCTGTGGCCTTTGACTCTATGTGGTAATTCTTTCCCTCTTCCTCATGTCTAGCACAGGGCTGGGCATGTGCAGAGACTTTTGTTAAGTTGTACTGAGCCAAATTATTCAGGTCAAGGATCCCCAGTGGAAAGAAGAAAGGAACTTCAGGGTAAATTAGACCAGGGCCATCAAGGTCAAGGCTGTGGACTGAGAGGGGCTGCAGCTGGGGGCCTGGAGGCTTTCTGGGTGAGGATGGGGTGATCTTGGGCATCCAGAGAGTTGCTACAAGGGCCAGTGTTGATTTACCCACCCAAGCCTTTCTCTGTTCCTCTCTCCCTTCTTAGTGTGACTGACAGTCACCTTGACTTTCCTTGACTTTGGAGAAGCCATTTCTATTGCTTTTAGCTCTTGGTATTGTATTTGAACTTGTAACAAAGCAGAAACCTTCTTTTCAAGGACTCAGTAATTGTTCAATGTTTGTTTTTGCTTTTCTTCTCATTTGAAAATTGTGTTTAGAATTAATGACCTTTCAAGAAATGCTCTGGAAAATGCCATGGCCACTATAGATCATCTGGATACTTTTCTTTTGATAATTTTTCCTCTTTTATCTGTCTCTGTTCTGAAACTCATCCTCATTTTTTCTCCCCTTTCCTTCTCGGTTCAGAAGTTGGATGGACTTGTCAAGCTCCGGACTGTGCGGGAGGCTCCATCTGAGTGCATCTGCCCCCCAGGTAAGTGGACATTCACTCCTCGCCAGTTCCCGGCTTCTGTAAGCCTGACCCTGATCTCATCTCCCTGGTCGTAACTGCTCAAGACATCCATGGCCAAGAGGGTCATCTGGGGTTTGGGGATGTTGTACCCTGTGGATGGTCCTGGGATCTTCCTGCCTATGACTTCTCTGTCAGGTTCATTGGTCAACGATTCCAGCAAGATGAGCTAACTTGGTTTGATTAGAGGCATTGGCAGAGAAACTAAGAAAGTGTTAGAGATAACTTAAAAATAAAGGCATAAATGGTCAAAAGTCCCATTTTAAAGATGGAGAAACAGAAACGAACCAATGGGAGACACCATCCTCTTGGTATTAACCCTGTTGCCAGAGCTCTGTTTCAGAAGTGAGGAGTAAATAATCTTGTGAAAACAGAGTTTTTTGTTTTTTTTTTCTTTTGGTGGAGGCAGAGGAGGGGAATAGGAAGCTTTGACTGGGTTATTCAAATTATCATGTCAGTCTTCGGTTTTGCTGTTGTAGATCAGGAGGGCCAGGAATAAAGCCAGATTTGCTGATTCCCAATCCACCTAGCTCAAATTCAGATTCCTACCATCAGGCCTTCTGGTGGTCTTCAGGGGAGCTTTGTACAGATCATGATGGAGAATTTTGGTGTGTAGTCTCTAACCCTGGTGTTTTCAGGGTTAGAATAATCCTTGCACAGGAGGATATATAATACCTGGGAAAGAGTGGAACCTTGTAATGTATCTCAGGGTTGTCCTCACTGTCACTGTCACTCCTACTAGCAAAGTTGTCCAGCATTTTCTACTCTACTTTAGCTGCTCCAGAAACTAAACTCAAACCAAACTGATAACTAATAACTCAAGGTTGGGAGGCCCCTCTGCAAAGATGAATCTCATGGTGGGAAAATTCAGTCTCTGAGGGCCCAGTGAGAGATTTTATGATTAAACCAAAGCTACCCTAGGACCTCTGAAAAACAAAAACAAAAACAAACAAAAACAAAACAAACAAACAAACAAACAAACAAACAAACAAAAAAAAATATATATATATATATATTTGGCTCTTTTCAACTTATTGTATGAAGGAGTTAACATTAGTCCAAGTGAAAAGCTGTGAGGCTTTTAAACTTGTGACAAGGGACAGAAGGGAAATTCTATTCACTGCAAGGAAATCCTCACTTAAGCTTCAGTGAGCCACAAGCACTTAAAACCCATGAATTTCCCACTAATTATCCTTAACCAGTCCAGTCTCCACCAGGAACTGGCATATGTTCTTGCTCTGGTCACCAGGCAGCTGAATTACTGTTCCATGTGGCAAATTTCTTCTTAAAAGGCTTCACTAGTGGGCTGTAGCTGTAGCTCAGTGGCACAGCACTTGCCTAGCATGTGCGAGGCACTGGGTTCGAACCTTAGCACCATATACCAAAAAAAAAAAAAAAAAATTCTGTCCATCTACAAATTTTTTTTTTAAAGGCTTCACTAGTTTTTTCTTTTTCTTTTTTTTTTTTTTATCATAATCATCAGGAATTCCTTGGGCAGTAGTAAGGGTCTTCCTGCCATTTCTCCATTGAATTCTTATATGGATGTAATCCTCAGAGCCAGCAGGAAGCCATTCATCACCCTTACATGCATCAGCAAAGGGGTCAAAGATTGGAGCTTCTAGAAGGGAGAGGCTACTGAGTCCCCCAGTGGCAGCTCAGTGACTGGGGAATCTGAGATTTTAATAGGAGGGGAAAAAAGACATCACAAAGACACATTAGAACATTAAGAAGTCACAAATCACAATTAAATGAGGAAACACATTCAAATCCACAAATGAAGTTTTGGGTAGTCTGCAAAATATATAAAATGGGAAGCTCATGGGGGTGAAGAACTAGTGAGATGTTTGAACAGTTTTGAAAGCACCATCCACTAGCCAAAGTGAAACATGCATTAATTCTTCTATGGATTCAGTGGTAAATAGGAGAATACTTTATGGATTTAGTGGTAAATAGGAGAAGACTTTCTTCTTTCTTTAAAAAAAATATTTTTATTAGTTATTGATGGACATTTATTTATTTATTTGCTTATATGTGGTGCTGAGAATCGAACCCAGTATCTCACAAATGCTAGGCAAGTGCTGAGCCACAACCACAGCCCCAAGACTTTCTTCTTGTATAGTCAGATTCCTAACCAAGAGGAGTTCACCATTTAATGTGTTTTCTAACACTAGAGAGACTATATCAGAAGGTGGCTGAGTTTGTCAAATTGTTTATATTCTCCCACAGAGGGCATACAGCATGGCACTGTATGTGAAGGGGCAGAAGTAAGACATGAATGAAAACTTTGGCCGCTAACCTGCCTACAACCCAAAACCACTAATTCTACTAAATTTGTCTTCTTACCCCTCATAGAGCCCCTACGCTCATCCCTGGGAATTGTGGTTTTCAGAATTGTGGCTTCTAGGATTTCAACATTTGGGATTTCAATCTTTTGGGATTATGATCTTCAGGTATTTTGAGCTTTAAGGATTTTTAGACTTTTAGGATTTTGTTCTTTGAGAATTTCAACATTTGGAATGAAGGCATTCCAGGGTTGTATCTTTGGGGATAATGATCAGCACTAGGGCAAAACCTCTAGGCCAGCGGAGAGTGGGGCACATGTTCTCCCTGCCTTCCAGGGAGGCCCTACCTGTGGTGAGCTTGTGCTGTCGTTGTCCCAGGGTATCCTGGCTGCAATTCAGCTGTCCTGGCCTGTGTGGTCAGGGTGGCCCTGGGGATGCAGCACAGTGATCTCAGCAGGGTCCTCATCTTCCCATGTACATTCTGTCTCTCCTGCCACCTCTGGCTTGGGGACCAGAGTTCTTCATCAACACAAACCCCAGGAGGCTGCCACAGGCTCCCCTGATCAGGAAAAGGACAGAGGCCTTTCTCTATAACACCAGAATTCTGAACTCTCTCCCTTTCTTTCTGGCTTTGATCAAAAAGCCCCATAGTCTTCAGAGTCTGGAGATGCAGACCACCCTCTGTAGTTCCGATCCCTGTCTGATCTGAGATACCCACAGATCCCCTGGCCCAGTTCCTTCCCACGGTCCAAGGAGACAGTGTAATCTTTTGTTAGATCCTAGCAGGCGGCAGGCAGATAAGGAGGCCAGAGAAGAGGCCAGTTCCTTTGTGTATGTCGCCCATTGTGAAGCCAGCTGTACAAGGCTGAAGGAGTGGCGGGCTTCAAGCAGGAAGATGTGCGTCCCTCTTGCCCAAGTCCATGATGGAAGGATTGGCAGGCCTCTGCCCTGAACCAGCTCTGTGACCTCAGTTCAGTGAAGGGCCCTTTGAGCCTTGCACCCTTTGTCTGTAAAATGGTGGGTTGAGTCATTTCCATCTAAATGATTTATCCAAGTCCTAGCCCCCAATACATGTGAATGTGACCTTATTTGGAAATAGGGTCTTTGCAGATGTACAGTAGTCCCACCTTATCCATAGAGGATCCACTTCAAGATTCCCAAGATGGGAATCAAGATGCCCAAAACCAGGGATAGTACTGAGCCCTCAATATACTATGTTTTTTCCTATACATATATAGCTATGATAAAGTTTAATTTATAAATTAGGCACAGTGAGAGATTAACAATAACTAATAATAAAATTCACAGTATAACAATATACTACAATAGAAGTTATGTGGATGTGTCTCTCAGAATATCTTATTTTCTTTTATCTTTTATTTAAAGGAAGCACTGTTTAGCTTTTTTTTTTTTTTTTTTTTGAGCAGATCTGAATTTCCAACATTTCTATTCTTGTGCTTTAGGGCCGTTATTAATAGAATAAGGGTTACTTGAACACAAGCACTTTAACTTCAAGTTCACGAAGTTGATATGATAACCTGGACAGCCACTTAGTGACCAAAGGGCAGGTAGCATATACAGCCTGGATATGCTGGGTAAGGGGTGATTCATATCCATTTGGGAAGGAGCAGGTGGCAGGAGACTTCATCATCCAACTCAGAGTGGTGTGCAATTTTAAACTTATGAATCGTTTACTTCTGTAGTTTTTTTTTTTTTTTTTTTTTCATTTAATGTCTTTGGGCCTTAGTTGATAGTAGGCAGCTGAAATCTAAAAGTGAAATTGTGGATAAGGGGGACAACTATAATTCAGGGCCCTATAATCTCAAGATCATTCAGGATTTAGGGTGGGCCTTGAATCCAATGACTGATGCCCTCAGGAGAGAAGAGAGGGGGAGATTTGAGACACAGCCACACAGTAGAAGCCATATAACTATGTCCTACAAGCCACGGGACATGGGATTGCCGGTAGCCACCAGTAATGAGACAGGTATGGAAGACAGAACCAATTCTGTCCACACCCTGAACTTCTGGCCTCCAGAATCATGAGACAAAAATTTCTGTATTTTTTTGGTATCTAATATGTGGTAATGTGTTGCTGCAGCAGCCCTAGGAAATGAAAACAAATGGGAACAATAATCACCCTGAGGGCCTCATAAGATTGTTGAGAGGATGGAAATGTGGGGGACAGAAGGAGCTTCCAGCACTGGGGAGTGTGAGTCACATGGTACCTGTGGGCTATCCTGTCACTGTTCTTTCCTATGCTCCTGCCCAGAAAGAGGGCCACACCCATCCTTCAGCAGGTGATCCCCAGGCTAGAAATACCTGGGATTCACCTGTGTCCCTTGGGTTTATCATTTATGTGTTTAAAACATGTTTAAAATTTAAATTTTTTTCTTTTTAAATATGAAGCAAAATATGTGACCAGAAAATTAAAGTACTACAAAATATTATACATAAAAAACACATTCTCCTCCCATGCTCCTCCCCAGCTTTCCTACTCCCCTTTCGGAGACCATTTATCAGTTACTCATATGTCCTCCCAGAGCAGCACTGCCCAGTAGAACAACCTGTGATGATGTTCTGCACCTGCATTGTGCAACACTGTAGCTGATAACAACTATTGAGCCCTTGAGATATGACGTGTGTGACCAAGAAAAATCTGGATTTTAAAATTTTATTTCT